GAAGAACTACATTATCTGGCTGGTGTGTTGTTTTTTTTCCTTCATATCTTTAGCATCACTTGCCCGTGTATCTCCCTCCGCCTTCTGTTTCTGCAGGAAACTTGATTGCCTACTTCTGCACCCCGAGTTTCTGCCTCCCGAGCGGCTCAGTTCGGTTACTGAGAAGCCTGACTCACCTTGGTGCCTGCAAGAAGCCCTTAGCGGTGAGTTCAAGAGGGGCTTTCCCCACGACCCCTGGGAAGCACTGGCTTGGCACGCCTCCAGGCTGGGGGGCTGGGGACATCGGGAGGGACCACAGAGCTGGGAACAGAGGGGTCACGACAGAGGAGGGTGTGAGGGTGGTGTTTGCACCTGGAGGTTTGAACAGAAGACCTGCTGAGAGTGGGGCAGTGCAGAGCCCAGCGGGGGGAAGACCTCTTGGGGGAACCCCCAGGGTGGGAGATCGAGCACTGGGATGAGTAGAAACAGCATGTTTGTCAATACTGCCCCGCTTTGAGAGACTTTCTACCCCAATTCTCTCTCTAGTCCACCTAGGTGGCAGTCCACCCTCGAAACCACTTGTTTCCACTCTGGGGCTGATTTGAGAAAGGCCCCTAGAATTTTTTTAGTTCTGATGCCCAGGAGCAGCGGTTCTCAACCTGTGGGTCGCAGCCCCTTTGGGGGTGGGGCGACCCTCTCACAGGGGTTGCCCAATTCATAAGAGTAGCAAAATGACAGTGATGAAGTAGCAACAAAAATAATTGTGTGGTTGGGGGGTCACCACCACATGAGGAATGGTATGAAAGGGTTGTGGCATTGGGAAGGTAGAGTACCACTGCCCAAGAGCAACACTCAGGTCAATGCATTTCAGCCACCTTGCTGCCTGTCTCTGCGTGCAGTAGGAGCCAGGGTCACTGGACAGACGGGGAAGTGGGCAGTACAGGGACAGAGTGGCCAGGATCTGAGATGCCCAGCATGCAAGCAGCGCAGGGAAGAACCCAGGGTCTGGGCAGCCCACCCCCTCCCTGCCCTGTCCTGTCCCAATCATGATCGGCAACAACCGTCTGGGCTCAGAGTTGCTGACAGGTCGCCGGCGATTGTGCTGCCCAGCGTGGACGGCCGCTGCTCCCTGAAGCCTGTTGGGTGACCCACCCTCTTGAAGCTGTTCAGAGGGTTTGCTGCAGGCGTGGGAGGATGTGTTCGGATGACCAGTCGATCCGGTTTTTCTCAATTCTCTCACCCGATCCCCTAGAAGCCCAGTTCACAGTGGGGTATCTTGTTTGTTACACAGCTTGTGTGCTTAGTCGACTGCTCTCTATTTAGCAGCTACCTGTGCTGGGCTAAGGCCCCTGGTGAGGGTGTCAGGTAAGTGTTGGACTACAGACAGCCAGGCACACAATACAAGGGTAGCAAGGAGTCAGGATCGACTCGAGGGTAGTGGATGTGCTCAGCTAGGAGGCCTGGTGACTCTGTGGGGTGAGCACTGGGCTGCTAACTACAAGGTCAGCGGTTCAAACCCACCCGCCTCTCTGCAGGAGAAAGAGGAGGCTGTCTGCTCCCATCAAGATTCCCAGGCTCAGGGACCCTAAGAAGCAGTTTTTTACCCTCATAGGCTCCCTATGAGACAGGATGGACTCCGATGGCACTTGTTTGGATTTGGGCCGGGGGTTGCTGTTGTTAGTCTGTGTCTGTGCTGGGGACTGGGCCAGGAGTCCCCTGGTAGTACAGATGGTTAACTTGTAGGTTTGGAAGTGTGAGTCTATTCAGAGCCCTCTCGGAAGAAAGGTGTGGTGATCTATTTCCCCCAAATATCCCCCGAGAAAGCCTGTGTTTCACTCGGGCACACCTGAGGTCCCCGTGGGTCGTCATGGACGCCATGGCATCTGGCTTGCTTGGTTGGGGGCTGCGGGTGTCTGCTGGAACCCTGGTGCTGTAGTGATTCCGTGTTGGGCTGCAATCCTAATGGTTGGCGTTTCGAAACCACCAGCAGCTCCTCAGGAGAAAGACCGGGCTTTCTACTCCCACAAACAGCTAGAGTCTCGAAAGCCCACAGGGGCTTGCGATGAGTCAGCACGGGCTTGACGTCACGGAGTTTGGCTTTGGTTTGGGGCCCAGGTTCTGGCGCGCTGGCATACGGCTGGGTGCACAACAAGACCACTGCCTCGTGGAGCTATTTTCTAGAGGCATCGTGTGTGTGTATGTGTGTGTGTGTGTTTGCACACATGTTGAGAAGGAGAGGGCGTTGTGTGGGCTGTAGGTGGAATTTAATGCTAAATGCCAAAGACCTTCAGTCCCCCACACAGAAGAAAATCTGTCGACGGTTCCGCTGACATCTCTGGGGCTGGGAGCTGCTCAGAGCCTCCGAAGCAAATCGCTGATGGTTGTGATTGCAGCTCAGCCCTTGACTCGCTCTGTGAGCTTGGGGAAGTGATTTAACCTGCCTGTGCTTCAGCAGACGCCGGAAATGTCTAACTGTCCGCGTCTGCAGAGCAGCCTGCCCCAGGAGCTCACGGAGCACTCCAGGACCAGACTGTAACTCTGCAGGTGGGCACATTCCCACCCCCACCCCCCCACCCCCAACACCGATCAAAGATCTCACGGAGTTGCTGCAAGGGTTCTAGAATCTGCCTCAGTGCCAGGAAACGTGAGACTCGAGAAATGTGCCAGTCATCAGAGGAAGTGAGGGATAAGAGGTGCAGGATAAACATGGATTCTGTCACTACCAAAAAAGAACACATGTTCTTGAGACACGAGTGTGCTGTGGCGAGGTCTCATCACCGTCGTCTTTATAGAATTGGGTACCTTCGTTGAGTGAACGTGTATTGGTGCTTGGTTGAGTTGTTGGCCTTACGAAGCACACAATGTGGAGAAGATGATGTGGGAAGTGCTCATTCGGAGGCAGGCACAGCGCGGTATGAGATGAGACCTGTGCTTTGATAGAGGAGTCCCAGGAGAAGGGAGCTTGGAGCAGGGGTGTTGCGGGGTGAGTAGGAGCTCACCAGCCATTGTAGGCAGAGAGACAAGCATGAATTGACATGCCGACGAGAGAGCTGTCCCAGGACCTGGGACTTGGGAAGTGACTGAAGATGAAACTGAGAAGAATCGAGCTCGGAACGTCCACAAGCTTGCACTTTACCCCCAAGGTCCAGCCATACACAAACCACAGGGCCCCAGGAGGTGTGGGGCTAAGGAGTGCAGGACCCAATTTCCATTTGGGAGGAGACGGCTTGCAAGGGAGCTTAGCTGGGCACAGGGACAACAACAAGCAAACCCCAAACCACAACAAATGAGGAAGGTCTGAGGCCAAGAAGTGGGATGCACTGGAGGGACATTTCGGATTCAGGGGGCACGATAATTACCCAGTGTTTCTTCCTGCTGAGTTATGCCAAGGGTGTCCGGCCATCGATCTTCTTAGCAACTGAGAGAGTTACTGTTCTAGCTTTCAAGACACCGAGACTCAATCCATCCCCAGGCAAACACACTTGTAAAGGAGGAGCGGGGCTAGCCTTCGGCTCTGATGGCTTCCAAAAGTCCTGGAGGGGACCCAAGATAACATCGGAGAACTGAGTACATGACCATCATATGATCATGACAATCGATATGATAAGCAAACGACAATCAATAGGGTAAGAGCATGAATCGATGTGCAGGCGCCGTTCATGGGGGAGCTTAGTTTGGGAGGGGTTGAATAAGGTAGCTAATGGCTCCTCTTTGCTCACAGAGTATCTCCGGTGTCTCGAAGAGAGGGTGGCTCACAGCAGGTGCTCTGTACGTCATGACTAAATGAGAATATCCCGGGGAAAGACGCAGCAGGCAGTGGGAAACCCAGCAGTGTGGTTTAGGAGACAGGTGAGACTGGAAGACAGCGCTTTGGGACGCAGTAGCAGGGAGGGGAGCTAGAAGCCTGGTGGTGGATGCTGCGATGGTCCAGAAAGAGCTTTTGTGAGCACAATGACGAGGGGGAGGGTTTTCAAAGCGGTCAGGTCCAAGGACAGTGAGTAGAAGAGAAGCATCAGCCGCCACAGCAGCACAACTCAGAAGTCGTCGGGCAAGAGCTACCTCCCGGAACCCAACGCACTGGACATGGAAGCCGTTGGCAGACAGGCCGATGAGGATGAGGCTGGACTGAAGATGGGGGTGTTTGAAAATTAGGTTGTGATTGGCGATATTGACAAGAGACGTTTTAGCAGGATGACAGCTGCAGAGGGTTGAGAGGGGGTATCAGTTAGAATGCTTTCAGCTGCAAGTCGCAGAAAATTTAACTCCAGGTGACTGAGGAACGGGTGATTTTTGTGCAATGACAAGAAGCCAGGTGATTAGCGGGGCAAGGGACAAGATGATGTTGGGACTCGGCTTCTCCTTCATGGCCCCAGCTCTAAGCTCTTAAAGCAGGCACGGTAGGGGCGGGCCGTCTCAATGCACGTGCCTCTCTCTTATCTAGAAGGCCCTGGCACACTCACCTTTACCTATCAATGCCTAGAAATGGATGTAGGAAAAGCCAGCCTCCAGCACTGTTAGCATCGTAAGGAAGCTGGCCTCGCTGGAGAGGGAGGACAAGGGGTGTTGTGAAACCACTGTTGGGTAGACAACTGGTATCTGCCACTAGGAGTAAAAGGGAAGTGAGGGATGAGCATGGAGTTCTTGGGTGGTGCAAGCCGTGCTCAGCTGCTAACCAAAAGTTTGGAGGTTAGAGTCCACCCTGAGGCACCTCGGGAGAAAGACCTGGAGATTTCAGGGGGAAAGGAAGCCGCATTGGAAGCCCTCTGGAGTCCCATTCTAGTCTAACACACATTGAATTCGCCACGAATGGGGTTGGCACCATGAGAGCTGGTCTCATGAACTGGCACACGTGCTTCTAAGGAGATGGGTCCAAAGGAAAGAACAAAGACCAGGGAGCTGTTACTTGGGGCAAGACTGCCTCTAAGACCAGGGTTGCAGTCATTGCCGTGGGTGGGCACTCTGTCCCTCTCAGCCTCTTGGACGGAGGAACAAGGATGGCCAGGGAACGTTTCCCCAGTTGATCCACAACATGCCATCCGCATCTCAATCTTTGCTTACTGCGGGGTACCAGCCCCCACAATCGAATGGGGTGATTGTGTAATTGAGGGGTAAAATGAAAGAGACATCAGACAAGATAAAGCATGCGATTGCTCACCTCCTGGACGGCCATGACCTCAGCAGCCTGGTCCACGCAGAGTGCCAATGGATTTCCAATCACAGCCTTATATACATTCCGGGGATGTGTAAGCCCCCCTAATTACATCATCACAGGAAGGTGTTGTACCAGAAGCATACATGCAGTAGGAGGGGGACGAGCCTAGGGGTGCACACGCAGTAGGAAGGGGAGGCGCTAGGTGCCTACCCATGTGACAAGATGGGCAGACTCAAAAGTCAAGATGGCAGCCTAACCTTGATCCTCCTTGAGTTGGCTTGACCTTGTCTTTGGACTCTCCTTCAGGGGAATAATCCACTATCCTTATCAGCAGAGAGTGGTCCCCGCTTAGGGTGGGACAGACGATAGGTACTGATTGCTCTAGATGGCTGATAACCCACATGGAGATCACCTCTAAGCAGTTGACCTCCAAGTGTATGGCCATTGCCCATGTGTTAGCAAGCAGCAGCTGAGGTTTGGCATATAGTACGGGGGACAACCTGGGGAAAACCTTGCTGTATCCCGCAGCTTACAAGAACTAACACAGGAGATGACCGAAAAGGCATTCCCAGTGGTGACTAAGATGATGCAGGGAGCTCTCGCTTTGGTTGTTGGTGGCCATTGAGGCAAATCCCACCCAGGCAGGCAGAGCGGAGCTGCGATCTGCACGTTTTCTGAGGACCTTATGAATGTTGGCTTTTTCTTCCCAGGGCTGCTCAAGATGGATTATTCCACGCCGGACATGTATGATGTGGATTACAGTATGTCGGAGCCCTGTCATAAGATCGAAGTGAAGCAAATGGCGGCCTGGCTCCTGCCCCCGCTCTACTCGCTGGTGTTCATCTCTGGGTTTGTGGGCAACATGCTGGTGGTCCTCACCCTGATCAACTGCAAAAAGCTCAAGAGCATGACTGACATCTTCCTGTTCAACCTGGCCGTCTCCGACCTGCTCTTCCTGCTCACCCTGCCCTTCTGGGCCCACTACGCCACCCATGGGTGGGTCTTCGGAGAGTCAGTCTGTAAAATCCTCATCAGTCTCTATCACCTTGGTTATTATGGTGGGATCTTCTTCATCCTCCTCCTGACAATGGACAGGTACCTGGCCATCGTCCATGCCGTGTTTGCTTTAAAAGCCAGGACGGTCACCTCGGGGGTGGTGACCAGTGGGGTCACCTGGGTGGTGATTTTGTTGGCCTCTCTCCCTGGAATCATCTTCACCCGATCCCGGAAGGAAGAGCTTCACGAGACATGCGAAACTGATTATCCCTACAAGTGGAAGACTTTTCAAATAATAATGAGGACGATCCTGAGCCTGGTCCTGCCCCTGCTCGTCATGATTGTCTGCTACTCGGGGATCCTGAAAACCCTGCTTCGGTGTCGCAATGAGAAGAGGAAGCACAAGGCCGTGAGGCTCATCTTCGCCATCATGATCATCTACTTCCTTTTCTGGGCCCCCTACATCATCGTCCTGAACTTGACCACCTTCCAGAACTTCTTCGGCTTGGAAAACTGCATTAGCGCCAGCCGGCTGGACCGAGCCATGCAGGTGACGGAGACCCTTGGCATGACCCACTGCTGCATCAACCCCATCGTCTATGCCTTCATCGGGGAGAAGTTCAGAAGGTACATCTCCACGTTCTTCCGAAAGCACGTCGCCAAACGCCTCTGCAGACAGTGCCCAGTGTTCTACACGGACAAAGTAGATCGAGCGAGCTCAGCGTACACCCCATCCACTGGGGAGCAGGAGCTCTCAGCTGGTTTATAAAATGAAGAGCTGTTTGCATGTTACTTACAAAAGGAGAAAAATACAGTACCCTGGGGGATAGGAATCCGGATAGTATGACAGTCTCCCAGGGCTTGTAAAATAGCAAAGACCTTTGAAGCAGCAGCCCAGGAACCTCTGGGTTGTGACTGCCCAGACAGCGTGTGTGCCACCTTGTGTGTACAATACGTGCTGCGGGAACGTTGCTGAACAACGGCAGGTGGAGCCCGGCTCCCCAGCAAGCTCACCTTTGTTCCTAAATGATGCTGCCTCCCCCTGCGCTTACGCGTCTTTCAGGCTGCACCACCTTATTGCTCTGCCTATTTATCAAGGGCCCAAGTGGAGAAGAAGAGGATAAGCAGATGGCCCCAGGCTGGATGGGAATGGGGGTTGGGGGTGGGCAGGGGAGAGTGGGAGAAGGCGGGAGACATGAACATGGCTGGGCCTGGGAGTCTATGCAGGTAAGAGCTTTATTCACTCAGCCAGGAGGCACTGCTGACCCTCTGCCCACATCTCACACCCGTAGCTGTCTTTGAAGGCTTCATCCGGTCACAGGGAGCTCAGGTCCCGTAAGAACACTCTAGGCATTTTGCTGGGGTCCAATACTCTTCTTGCCTGTAAGTGCCAGAGACCATTTTCCCGTGGCTTACCTATGTCATGGATTCCATGACAACTGTGAGTCAGAATGGGCTCGATGGCAACTGATTGGGTCTGACAACCACACACCCTACATCTGTTATCTTAGATGCCCTGCCCCATTCTTCACTTGTTTTCCGCTTCTATAACACTTTTTGTTTATAGATTATGGCATAACCTCCGATCCTCCAAAAAGAGCCCTGGTGGCATCGTGGGTGACGAGGAGGAGCAGTTGGCTGTGTCCAGAATCAGCTAAAAGGCCTGGTGACCTTGGACCTGAGCCAAGGTTGCTTGGTTGTGGCTGTCCCCTGCCGTCCTTCTCCTCTGACCTCCTGTTTATTCCAGCGCAGTCATGTAACTGCACCAGGGGACTGGTGGAGCTCCAGGAGAGCAGAGGGCAAGAATTGGAGGGAAACGGGAGACTTGGTTCTTGGTGGGGCCAAGTTGGGAATGCTTATCCATTGTGATGGGGGAAATGTGTGTGTGTGTGTGTGGATATGTGTATCTATAAAACCAAGACAAGGACTTCCACACCAATGGGAACAGACTGTGGGGACTGCCAAGGTGGGGGGAGGGCAAGAGAGAAAGAAGAGAAAGCTCCCGCAGGCCAGCAGTGCTTGTCAGACTTGATACAAATCGGGACCTACATGTCTTATCTTAACAAATATATTACATTGTCTTCTGTCTTATCTTAACGAATATATTAAATTGTGTTTGCGATGGAAATCTTGTGTGAAAACTATGGTTTGGAGAGCAAATCGATGCTCCAAGAACATCGTTTTTAAAAACTGCACCCTGGTATCCAGGCCGACCTTGGAGAGCTTGCCGGCTGGGTCCCAGACCACCGGCGGTGGTTAAGCCCACATTCTAATAAAGCGTGTGGCGCAAGTGTTTGGACTTCCCCGTGCCTATGGGAGCCGTGTCTGCCCCGGCGTGGCATCTGCTACATGTGCCACAGCATCACGAAGAGACTTGAAAGGCTACGAGGATGACAGCATTGTAGCAAAAGCACGCTGCTCCGTGCAGGCCTCCTGCACACCTTCCATGCGACCCAAACCTAACAAGGGAGCCGATGAACTTAGGGGAGGTGAGAGCCTGAGGCTGGGAACCTCTTTAGCCCTCGCCACGCGGCTGCCGTATTGGTATGTGGAGGGAAGGGACAGAGGAGGCAGTGGGTTATGCACAGAAACCCTGCTACCCGAGCAGGCCTGGCCTCCCAGGCCACTTCCTTGAGAAGCTCCCAGCCTAGAAAATGGTTGGGCATTGAAGAATGTCTTGTCACTACCCCAATTATGCTTCCAAATGGCATCTGTTCATGACAAGGTAGGACTGTATTGCTCTCCAATCACGGATTCCACAGGGCCTGAGGTTTGACTGGATTCCAGAGAGCCCTGCCCACAAGAGCAGTGTGTTCTGTTCTCTGGGCCCTCCTACCACACCTCCATGCCTAGTCTGCTCTTAGGCATGCAGGGGCCAGGAGAGCTGGGGGAGGAGGGGGGAGGGAGATGAGCAAATATATCAGCACCGTGGTTAAGTGTTTGGCTGCTAACCCGAAGGCTGGTGGTTTGAATCCATCCCTAGATTCCATGGAAGAAGAGACCTGGTGATCTCCTGCCATAAAGAGGGCCATCCACCCACTGCCACCGAGTCCATGCCAGCTCACAGAGCCCCGGGGGACAGAGTAGAGCTGATCCTGTGGGCTTCTGAGATGGTAAATCTTCACGGGAGTAGAAAGCTTCATCTATCTCTCATGGAGCGGCTGGTGGTTTCCAACCACTGACCTTGTGGTGAATGGCCCACTCGACCACCAGGCGTCCTGTGTTAAGGTTAGCCAGTACTGCCCCACTCGAAGGAACAGATAACAGAACTGTTGGTGAACAGATACATTGGTTGGTGTAAGACAGGCAAAATCATCATAATAATGTATAATATAATAACAAGGGTTCCTGGGGGTAGGGTGGGGGAGGAAGGGGATAAATGGGAGCTGATACAAGGAGTTCAAGAAGAAAGAAAATGTTCTGAAAATGATGGTGAAAAAAAAAGAGAAAATGATGGCAGCAGCAATTGTCTAATGACGCTTGATCTAATTGAATTTCGGATTGTTGTAATAGCTGTAAGAGCGCCCAATAAAATGACTACTAAAAATTTTAATTAAAAGATTAGCTAGTACTTAATCGTCTACCCCAGCAGTTCTCAACCTGTGGGCCATGACCCCTTTGGGGGTCAAATGACCTTTTCACAGGGGTCACCCAACTCAGTAGCAAAATGACAGTGCTGAAGTAGCAAGGAAAATAATTTTATAGTTGGGGGGGTCACCACAACATGAGGAACTGTATTAAAGGGTCGTGGCATTAGGAAGGTTGAGAACCACTGGTCTACACCATTTCCATCCTCGCTCCTTAAAACCTCATTGTAATGGTTTAAAAAACAGGCACACACACAGTCCACATTTTTAGAACTGAGACACTCAACTGCTTAGTAAACCCTCACCCTCTCGTGGTTTTGTGCTTGCATGGTGGGCCCCATGTGTGACATCTCCCTTCATTGGACTTTCTCTTCTGGCTGCACTGGTCACACGGTGCCTGGTTCAACAGAACACCATCACTACCTGTGGGGGTGGGGGTGGGGGCAACAAATCATCACGGGTCTGGTAGGCGTGATTGTACGGCGATAATAAGTAAAGATTACAGTGAAGTCGTGGAGAGCATGAGAGACAGAAGAGAGATTTAAGTAATGGAGTCAGACACAGTTCATGGTAGCATGCTCACCTCAGCCCCGCTTGGTGGTCCTCGTGGGGAGACCTCCGCAAGCGAGAGCCGGCCAACCTTATTGCCAACCAAGGTTTATCACTACTTAGGGGGGCGTGATTACAGGTAACCACACAGTCATGGGAAGGGGCTGTACAATAGGCATGAGGGTGACAGGAAGGGGATGAGCTAGGGGTGTGCACATAGGAATGGGAGGGACTAGAGGTATACACGTGACAAGATGGGCAGACCCTAGATTCATGATGGCTGCCTAACCTTGGTCATCCTTGGGTGGGCTTGACCTCTCTGGGCTCTCCTACAAGGAAACAGTCAGTTACTATCCTTATCAGAAGGGAGTGGGTCCTGCTTGTTGTGGGATACACAGTGGTGACTGCTTGCTCTAGATGGCTGATAACCCTTAGGGAGAATAACCCCTGACCTACTTCTGTTGACCTCCAAGTGGATAGTCATGTGCAGCAAGCAGCTGCATTTGGGATATATTTGGGGGAGACAAGTTGGGAGAACTCTTTCTGTTTCCCATAACTACCTAACAGAATCAAAGTCTCGCCTTGCGGCTTGCAAGGAGGCGACTCGGGTTCAAATCCCGGTCAGTGCACCTCAGGTGCGGGAGGTGTGCATGTGAGCGTGACACCATGCAGGTTTCCGTGGACTGTCCAGACCAAGAGGGCTGAGGAAGAAAGGTCTGGAGATCCACCTCTGAAAATCAGCCACTGAAAGCCCCGAGGAGTGTAGTCCCACTCTGATCCACATGTGGTCTCCATCAGTGGGAAGCCACTCAGCCACAATGGGCTTAACTGCTCAGCAGTCTGAGCCCTGTGTGAGTGGCAGCCCAGCTCTCTCCTGAGCTGTCACCTTGGCCCAGGGACACCCAGGGGTCCTTGAAGGATCCTGGCTGCCTCCCCGCCGTGCCCCGTGACTGCCCCCTGCCCCGTCCTCCCTCCATCCCTTCTCTTGGCTCAGCTATGTGCTGCCCAGGGGTAGCCCACCTAGAATGAGGAGCTGGTTTCCTCCTTCTTGCTAGCCCCCACCCCCAAGTGATACTTTTTATTTTCCCAACAATTTTATTGGCATATAATTCACATACCCTGAGATGCAATACTTCAATCACATCAGGGAGAGTTGTACAATCACCACCACAATCAGTTATAGAACCTCTCCTCCTTCTTGGGCTCATCGTTGTTAGCTCCCCGTTTCCCTAAACCTCCCCTGCCACACCCCCAAGGGAGCATCAACCCAGCGACTGTGTCTACATACGTTGTCCTGGGGTGATTCTGGCTTTGAGGCAGGAAGCCCCAGCCTGCTTCACAATAACCTCAGGACTCCTCCACTGACCCCCTTTCCTCACCCGCCCCACCCTATCTGCTCGCACCAGGAAGATGACGGGGTGGGAGGAGCTGACACCATCACGTCTGTGTCACCTCTGCCTCGTTCCAGAGAGGTGTCTGACCCCAGGTGTTGGTGGTTGTTTTTCAGAACCTGGAGGACTTCGCACCTTTTTGCACTCAGCCTCAGGCTCCGGTTGCCAGTTCTGGGGCACCCAGAAAAAGTCCCTGATAAAATTCATCCGGTTATGAATAGCACCAGAGTGTTCCGACCCAC